CGAACTGATGAATGAAGATGCCTATGAGAAATACATAAAATCAATTGAGGAATAAGCTGGACTAATAAATCCATATAAAATATTTCAGTGTAGTTTGTCATCAATCAGTGAAGTACAGAATATCTGGTTTTGAAAAATACCACTTATGATCATATATACACGGCCATAAATAATTGCAGTGATAAAAATGTTTAACATCTGCATACCTGCAAGGGCTTTTTATTCTATTGCCTGATTTATGTAACTTCAGGATGTTAACGATAATATTTTGGGAAACAAAATTTATATGCTAAAATACAGACTTCTCAAGATTCATTTGACAATCGAATTTAGTAACAACAGCCTTAATATGGTAATTGTGTAGTAGGCACGTGACTGTTCCCATACCCTAGACTACAGCTTTCCCTGAAATGCTTTTCAGTGTCTTGGGAGGAGTACGAAAGTATTGTCTCCCTAACCTTCTAATATTTTTCCTAATTATAGTTGCAAAGATGATACCAAAAAAGGAGATCCTGTGTCAACTACCTCTTTGAATGATTTTTACTTCTTTACAGAATGTATTAATCCTTTTGTTTTCTTTCTTCATTTTACTGTGTAATCAATAGTTCTGCCTTTGAAGCAGAAGGTATGGTCCTTGTCTTCTGATTTGTGTGCTCTCTTAGTATGCAGAACTCATGCAATAGTAGTTTATCTGGGTTCTAGAGAGGATGGTGTAGGCTGTATTTTTTTTTTAAGTGAACAGTACCAATGTCACAAGCCCTTAAGGAATTCCATGTCTCGTGCCTAGCAAGTGTGATTTCGGAAGAGTTGATACTTGTGAAAATTGTGTAATTGGTAATGGGTTGACATATAATGTATCCACGTGTGTCTGTTGTTAAGATCAAGTAGTAGGCACACTGCTGTAGTGACGTCACAGGAATGGAACTAAAACTTTCACTCTGACACCCAGGAAACTAAAGCAGCTGATTCCATGAGACTTAATATTTAACGAATCCACACATGTGCACTCGGAGTCACATCTGATGTGACATCTGAGAGTAAGGTTGAGTCATACAGACCTTCACTTTAGGAAAATGTAATGGTACAGCAGAGATTTGGTATAACTTTTTTTCAACAGTTTGAAAATAGTGGTTTGAAGCTAAGCACAAAACATGAATGACAACCAAGTATCTGTAAATTGATCTAAGAGGAAGCAGGAGAAAGTTTATTTAAGATGACAAAGGCAAAATTCATACTCCTTTTGAAGTTTCTTTCAGAAGCACAGCCCTGATGAAGAACAGAAATTCACTGTAGGTTACAGAGAAACCTTTCTATTGCATAAAAACATAGGGCTTGCTTTTGTTATCTGAAGGGATGTCAAAGTAACTGGTGTTTTTCTGAAAACTTACTTAGGAGCTAATTTTTCCTACACAAGTTGCAGACAAAAGCCCTGCCAAGAGAGACTCCACTGTGTGCTTAAGATAAAACCATCTTCTCCATAGGAGAAAACTGCAAAGTGACTACGAGGAAAGATTGGGTTTGGCTGTGGGTTCCACAGGACTCCTAGCTTGGCAGCAGCTGATAAAGAAGAGGCTCTGGTAAACCTGGTGCAAATGCTTTAAAACCTGTCAGTACTTATCCATTATTCACAGAATCATGCAGTATTTACTGGGACAGCATTGAGGGCTCAGAGAGCTGGGAGCTTGGTCCTGGCCTCTTTTAGACTCCCTGCATCAGTCTGGATCCTTGACCTCCCTGTACATTTCCCACAGGGAGAGAAAGTTTGTTTCAGATTAGAATGAGTGCAGGCAGACTGCTGTGAGAATGCATGAAAATGTTTCAGTTTGGAAAAAAATAGGGTGGCAGAAAGTATCAACCTTACTACAGAGCAATAGGCCCTTCATTCATAAAGATTGAATGTAATATATTACAACATTACAACAACTTTCTGGGAGAACTACCTGCAACAGAATTCAACCTTTCTTTCACAGGGTACAGCTGGAGAAGAGCTGTTCTTTTTCTTGAAAAGCAGGACCAGGAACCTCTGTATCCCTAGTTCTTTTAGGGGTTTTATAACCTTAAAAGTGGTTTGTTGCATTTCCCAATTCCTTTCAAAATGGAAACAATAATACTTAAGTGCTTTTCTGGTGTGGTTTATTGCAAGAGCTCTGGTGTTCTGTAGTTATTTAGGCTAAAGGATGTTTATTGGAGGAAATATTTTTGTATCTTTCTACAATTCACTCAACTACCTGAATTATGCTGCCAAAAGAATATATCCTTCCTTGTTTGATGTACGCAAGCCAAGCAGAGCTCTTAGCTTTCAAATAATCCCATAACTTCACTACATTCAGAAGCAGCAGCAGGAAGCCTCAGGCAGAGCACTGTGCACTGGCTGGAGCCAGACTCTGCAAGAGCATGATGCAGGAATCCATAATGAGTGCCTTTCATCAACATAAAAAGATGCAGTGAATGTGTATTAGCTTTGGTCTATGACACCGTTTTAAATGCTTTTGTATAAATCATAGGGGGAAACGTCAAACTCGTTCATCAGTGTGTGCTCCTACAGAAAATGAATAAAGGAGATGATTTTTTTACAAAAGAACCACTTTATCTGTGACCTCTTAAGTCTTGATCCTGAGTTTAAGAACTTAACACTCATAATTACTGGGTACTAAACATTATAGACTCTGTAGAGAGATTGCTTTCATGGCAAATTATGATTTCCATACTTCTCCCACAACCAATAATTATGTCTCTGTATCTTCTAGGGGTTAATTATATCATCACCTTTCTACTTGCCAACAATTCCTTTCTGTTCCACAAGCACCAACCTTTTTATCTCTCAAATTATCTGCCTGAATAATATAAGCTAAACTTGGAACTAATTTTTTTCAATCCCTATTTAGTTTTATAAGATTTGTATTGACATCAGTCCTGAAAAGATTGCATACCTAAAATTTTGTGTTTTTTCAGCCAATGAAGTACTGCCTCTGCTTGTGGGTCTTGACCCATCGTGTATACAAATACAAATCATGTAACTGATACTTCTCACCAGAGGGGGTGAATCGATGGTATAAAACTAAAAGAACTCAAATACGTAAATCATAACACTTGGTGGTGTTTTGATGAGCATAAAATAAGGGCAATGTCATGAGCTGACCACGCGGTGGCACCAAAACTGTCACCGGTGGCACACGGGGCAAGGGCCAGGGCAGCCCGGGGTCGATCCAGCTGCGGGGGCAGCTCGTTCCCCAGCTCAGCTTCCAGATCACAAAAACCAATAAGCACATCTCACATCAGTGAAAAACCTTTAAAACCCACTCTTCACAACACTGTACGTAACAAAGGAATCAACTTAAACCTCCTTTTATTGTACCCATCGTCTTATTTCTTCTCCTCCAGTCTCCTCCTCCCCCTTCTTGCAGCAAGCCCGCCAGGGAAGGGGTGGCATGGACAGTCTAAAATACTACTCCACTCCAAACGTGATGCCAGCCCTAAATTCTACAGGAGCCTTTCAATATCAGAGCAGAGACTGACGGAGCTTTGAGGAAGATGTTCTTCCGCCAAAGTCACAGAGACAGCAGCTTTTACATTAATGAAGCTACATCTGCCCTAGACGGCAGAAGTCATGGCCAATAACAGAGCGCTGCTTCCACGGACAAACGTGCTTTAATGGGGGGAAATGTGACTGCTAATGGAAAACTGAACATCTCTGGCAAGCCATTTCCAGAGAGTACAACTTTCTGCATGTAAGACAATAGTAAAAGACCCTTGAGCAACATCCATCAGCCTAAGTTACCAGCAAGATATGCTGCAGAGGCACAAAAAATTTTGAGAGCAGCTTAAGAGTGTCCTCAATGTAATTTTCTCCACTTTTCCCACACCACTTGAGACAGCCCTAGAGGAATAGTCCTTGGCAGGGGAACATAGCCTGTGGCATCTGGATTGGTCAGTTTGTCTCACAATATTGATATCCCTCTCTTCCTGATACAGTATAAATCAGTCATTTCAGACCTGATCTATTTTAATGCAGTACAAGTGCCCTACACCCTCTGCTATTATGCTGTTTTACTTGTCATTTGTTTATAGCGTTTAATTATTTATGCTCTTGAATGTATTTTGCTTAGAGATGTATTTTAATGGAGGCACAAGCACTTGTACCTTTCTCTAACCATGAAAATCAGTCCACAGGATAGGAGGAGGATGAGTCTGCACTTCTTGGGGCTCAAGAGCAGTTCTGTTTTGCAGCCATCACTCCTCTCCCTTCTTTGCTGCATGGGTCTGGATCAAGAGGAAATGGCAGAAAATTAAGTGTTCTTGGTAACTCCTGTCTGTTCTGACAGGGCCTCACTTAGGTGCCACAGCTGGCGGTGATAAAAAGCCAGTGATAAAACTGGTGTGGTATCACTCCTGCACGGCTCTTTTTTCTGCAGAGTACCATCCTCATCTACAACAGAAACATTTTTGCAGCTTTCTACTAGAGTAAGGGACATTTCTTACATTAGGGTGACCTGGTAAATGTCAGACAACAAAGAAGAAAATTGAGCCATTCAAAATCTCCATTGGAATATTTCTTTTTCTTTTTATTTTGTCTGCTTCCCCTGCCTTCCATGGGTGTAAAGAGTATCTGAGGGTCCTTTAATGCATGCCCCTGCTTCTGTGTGATCCAGAGCAGTATTTCTAATAGGGAATCTAACACAGTCTTGCAAAGGGCCACTCTCCAGAGGCAGCACAGACAAACCCCATTTCTCCTTTCTCTCCTCCCTTGTATACATGGAGAGTTGCAAGGAAAACAGCACAGCCATCCTGAAGCCAGAAAAAGGTTGGGAACCATGGCTCTAGATCGCGACAATGGCAAAAGCTCTTGGGACGAGGCTGCATGAGAATTTGAGCTGATCTCACAGCTCCCAGCTGCTGGAAGATGAGGCTCTTGCCCTCTCTCCCTCCTCTCCATACCTAATCCTCACTCTCACCACCTCTGCCAGTCCAGAGGCTCCACAGCATTCACTATGTCCCCTGAGGCAATTCAACTTTGTCAGACCAAAAATAGTTGGCAGATCCCAAAAAGTGCTCAGA